TGAACTATTGAATTTTATATGATTTACTTAATAACTTCAGAGTGTATGTATAATTGACATTTTGCTATAGAGATAGAGTGATTGCATATATAGACAATTTATCTATCTATCTACATGTGTTTATATATATATATATATATATATATATATATCAATTCAAACGTTATTTTTAATGGATACTCATATTTGAGTAGACGCCTCATTTATTTATTCAACAATTTATTTATTCCCGCCTACCGGCCTGAATATTCGACAATTATTCTCTTATTAAAGAAAACTATGCACTCTCCGCTATATATTTTCCTTTAAAGTGCTAAAAATTGAAAAAAAGAGAGATGGGAAATAATGTTTTTCCAATTGTTATTTTTATACCAATTTGTCTTATCGACAGAATTATTTTGGGAAATTTGACTTTATTGTCGACATGGAAAACAAAAAACAAAAAAACAAATTCTTAGTATAAAAGAAGTTATCATTAGCCAGAATGTGACTTACGCAGGAGCGTCTATCTTTTTTAAATTTTGGATTTAATGTAACTATAACAACAAAAACATGTCGCTTTCATTGTTTACCTTGATAAAGTCGGCTAAATCTAAGACATTTTCCAATTTCCCTTTTTATACCAATTTGTCTTCTCCACAAAATTATTCTGATAAATTTAACTATATATATATATATATATATATATATATATATATATATATGTGTGTGTGTGTGTGTGTGTGTGTGTGTGTATTTAGCAGCAAATTCTCTTTTAGTCATGTCTGATTGAATAAATTACAGAAATTGGTCATTTTTAACAAAGTCCCTTCATGCTCACGGGGATAAAGGATGAGAGAAATGTGCTATAGGTGTTTAAATTTCTTTTATTTTTATTTCCCAAGTACTTTCGATCTTCTTCCAAGATCATCTTCAGGTGTTCAAATAGTACAAACATATATATTGTTGATTAGCATAAGTATTTATACAAAGTTGTGCGTTGTTATCCATTACTGTAATTTATTCATTATTCTAAAACGACTTACAATGCTGAGCATTCATTAGAACATCAATTATGGATTTTTTTTCATGTTATAATGTCATGGATATGCGCGAATTAAAGCGTGAAAAACTGTTCCTTTACAGGCATTTCAGAACATTACTACAGTATTCATAGTTGATTCTATCCAGTGCCGGCTTTAATTTTTTCAATATAAATTGCTTCTAGTATCTGTAATCTAAATTTGTTATTTTCATGGTGTAGGATAGTAATTTTTTATTTTCATGGTGTGGGATTAGTAATTTTTGATATTGTGAATATATATATATATATATACTGATCTGCATTTATCTCATTTTTATATATCTATACCCCTCTCTCTATCTACATATGAATATGTGTGTGTGTTTTAGGTATCTATAAAAGATGTTAATATGTAATCCAATCTTTTAAGAATAAAATTTTGTATTGGCCAATTAACGTGGGTCGAAATTGTATTTCAGCTTATAAAATCTTTTTCGCTTCGTAATATTTATAAGGTGAATTTTACTCTGCCACTAGCACTTTTCCATCATATTTTAAATAAATCTATATAATATCATATTCGTTGATAATTTTTTTTTACAATTTAAGACATATATGATTCTCTATAGATTAAAAGAAAGATAGAACCTCAAAAGCGAAGTTGGTAATGGCTATCAAATGATAAGACGTTGGCTATCAAATGAAAAGACAAAATTGAACGGAAAGGAAAAAACAAAAACAAAACATAACAATAAAACTATAAAAATTGACAAGAACAGTATGAAATGGTTTTAAGAAAGACCATAGGCAAGAAAATGTTGACTAACAAGAAAGTGTTTGCGAATATAAACTGAGAACAGATGAAGAATATTATGAAACTTGCTTGAATATATAAAAACCAAACTACGAAAAAATTCCCAAAAAGAAATATATAAGTTACATAAAGAAATAGATGAAAACTTGGAAGTGAACAATAATCGTCTATATGTGGAAAATAACTGTAATTTTTAAAATTTTCCATACTTATTGGGAGAGAGTGGTAAATATCAGAGCAAGAGATTACATAGATACAAACAATATAAACAAAAATGCAGAGTGACTAATAGTTTCACGACTTAAGCCATCATCAGATCAGATTGAAAATATCTGTCACCGTTCAGTGTTGATTCTTTAATCCACAAACTCGTCCTTTGGCAGTATTTCTCAACATCAAAATTTTGGTTTGTAACTTCATTTAAATTCAGTAATATCACTACTAAAGTTGCATTTTTTGATGTTTTTTCATTCCCTTACCGTCTGGTAATTTTAATTTTTCCAGGGAAATCTCGTTAGAAACAAAGAAAAGAATACTGAACTGACACACACACACACACACACACACACACACATATATATATATATATATATATGAAGAAATATAGTGGTGTGTCTATACATACGCCTTTGTATGTTGAAATTCAAAGATTGGAAGTGTAGCGAAAATTTCTCGTGAATGTATTCATGTCAAGAATCAGAGCATTTTTCTATTTTTCCACATCTTTGAATTTCAACATACAAATGCGTATGTATAGACACAACACCACCCATATACATACATATGTCAAATCCGAAACTGTCCACATATGTTTATATATGTATGAGTCCCGACGGACGACCAAGTGTGTATGTGTGTCTGCGTAACTCATTGGGCGTATGAACATGCACCTATGTTTGCGTTAGCACGATGACATCACGACGACGATTCCCCCCCTCGCACTCCCATAATAACACCAATACACGCAATCTACATAAAACCAAAAAAAAAAAATTAATCAGTTTGTCTGACGATCGCAAAAGCGTGAAACCCAGGGTCACAAACTCACATCAATCCAACCAAATATGTTAGCTCTATCTCTGATATTAAGCGCTTTCTAATAAGTACCGCGCATATAATATATAAATAATTATATATATATATATATATATATTTATATACACTTTTCACACACACACACACACACACACACACACACACACACACACACACACACACACACACACACACACATAAAAAATAACATTTCAATTGATATATATATATATATATATATATATATATATATATGAATATATATATATAAAGATATCAAAAGATATCAGTCCTCCTATATGGCAGTGAATGCTGGACAATCTCATCACATATGAAAACTTGCGACAATGGAAAGAGATAGTTGATATTTCCCGACCACATAAAGAGATTAGAAAATATGACACTGACTGAACATAAGAGGGGGGAGAAGAAAGCGCATGATCGACCTAATAATCTTGTGTAAATTGTTGACAGAACAGGGATTAGGAGTGACATAAAAAGAAATACAATGGGCAGGATATTGTGGAGTGCTATGATCGTCTACATCCGTAGGGAACAAGTCATATCGAAGAAGAGAGTTACAGTTTGAGATCGTCTGGTCTTTCAAATCGGTCGATAAATATCGCAAGTTAATAATTATATGGTTGCTGTTAACAAGAAGATACTATCGTCAGTAATGTTCAAGACGTTGTTTGATTTTGTACTAGAAAATCAAGTAGTTGCTGGGTTACGGATAAGTGCCGCTGTGTTCCGAATGTTTAAACAAATGCATATGAATCATCCACTTGGACTTAATGTGCCGATGTTGAGTGGCAAAAAACTTGTACGGATAACCGAAGTGGAGATGGAAAGCAAATTTCCTCAGCAAGTCCTGAATTTATTGCTTATGTTGTTGTTGTTATTATTATTATTATTATTATTATTATTATTATTATTATTTACTTTGTTTTCTGGTGTTTACTCATTTCTTTCCGGGTCCCGACCAGAGACCTAAGGTCAGAAATGGCATCATGCCATTTTTCACTGAGCAGTTTTGAAAAAAAAAATCGCACATATTTTACATAGATAAATCCCTTCGTAAGGTGTGGGCTGTACTTGTGAGTACAATTTTGTGTATATCTTTAATGCATAGGCTACAAGAGATTCCTTCAATGATTCTATTGGAATCTTTTCTAAGCAATCCGAGGGCTCCAACTACAGCTGAAATTGTTAATGTCCTTATACGCCACATTTTTGAGATTTCCATTTCAAGGTCCTTGTATTTGGATAGTTTTTTCAAGATCATCAAATATACATTACATTAATTATTATTATTGTTTTATTTCCTTTGATTTCTGGTGTGTACGCATTTATTTCCGGGTCCTAACCAGAAACCTAAGGTCAGAAATGGCATCATAACATTTTCCACTGAGAAGTTTTGAAAATTCCCCTATTTTTCAGAATTCGATTTCAAGGTCCTTGATAGTTTTTTAAAGATATTCAAAGACACATAGCAATCTACAGGGACTGCTATGCCAATAATTAAAATGCCAATTATTATTGTTATTATTATTCACTCAATGCATGCCCCAAAAGTCACTCAATATAGAGTGTTACTAAATTAAATTGTTGGAAGGACCAAAAAGAAAGGAATAAGATGTACATACTCAGTGGGATAGGGAGCATAGATAACGGTTGATACTCGACTTGAAGAGCCTAAGATGTTTAACTTACTAAGGTTTTTTTTATATATATATCATGTTCCTTAAACTTAATTTTTCCCGATATTTTTCTTTTCTTTGATTTCATGGAAAAAATATTGTAATTGTTAATCGTTACCTATTCCACAATTTTGAATTTAGAATTATTCTATTTCTACACTGCTAATACTTAAGGCTAGAAAGTCAGGCCATTTAATGCATATTTGGAGAAGACACTGATTAGTGCGAAATGTTATACAGGAAACGCTCCCGGAGTTTATACTCACCTTGCAATGCCACTTTTCGCGCCGATTGCCGTTACGTTAACCGAACGTCCACCCATGTTTTTCGTACAATCGCAATGAATAAACATTAAAAAAATGAGTGACGTATATAGTTTAATGTGTTTATAATGAAACATTCATAAAATACTATGATTTGGAAGCAATGTAATTCTTTTATTTTATACACTTCTGCAACAGAAGAATGGATAAAAAATGGCGGACAAGAAAAACAGCTGTGAAGAAAGAGTAAACAAATATCTAACAACTAGTGTTGTTGATTTAATGATGTCAAAAATTGTCGCACAAACGATAATGAAAGCCGAAAAAAAGTTTGTGTAAAAATGAAGCACCGCCAAAGAAGAAAGAAGTAAGGAAGAAAGAAAAAGGAAGTATGCCTGAAATAAATTAACTGCTGACAAAAATGAAAGACGTTAAAACGGAAGAAATATCAGTAAAAGTTGAAAGAAAAATAAAGCAAATAAGTAAATGATAGAGAAACTAAAAACAAGTTAACAAGAAAGTAAGTAAGAAAGAAAGGAAGAAAGAAAGGAAGAAAGAAAGAAAGAAGGAAGGAAAGGAAAAATAAGGAATAAAAGGAAAAGAGAGAAGGAAAAATATATTTGGACAAAAGAATAAATGAAAAAGAAAAGAGATAAGAAATATGAATAAAGAAAATAAAAACTTTCAAAGAAAAAAACGTAAGAAAGAAAATAGAAAATCAATTCATGAATGAAAATTAACGAAGGAATGAAAAGAGACGAATAAAAAATCAAAAAGAAACATAGAAAGAAAGAAAAATAAGAAAAAAGGAAAACGAGAGAGAGAGAGAGAGAGAGAGAGAAATGAAAAAGAAAATGTAAAATTGGGCAAAAGAATAAATGACAAAGAAGAAAAGAAATAAACAATAGGAATGAAAAAGCCACAAAGTAAAACGAAAGAAAGAAATCGAAAACCAAATCAACTCATGAAGGAAATTAAATGAAAGAATTAAAGGAGATGAGATAAATAAAAAGAAAACAAAAGAAAGAATCAACGAAATAAAAAGAACGAAGAAAAATAAAAAAAGAAAGAACGAAAGATAAAAAGAGAGAAAGAAAAATATAATTGAACGAATGTTTAAGGAGGAGAAAAGAAAAAAAACAATATATAAAAAACGAAAGAATGAAAGGAGAGGAATGAAAACTGAAAAAAAAGAAATGAATAAAAGAAAGAAAAAAGAAAAAGAAAAAGTGTGAAAGCGAAAAAGAGAGAAAAAAATATCACTGGTCAAGAAAATAAATGAAGGGCGAAGAAGAAAAGTAAACAATAGGAATAAAAAAAGAAAAAAATTACAAAGAAAGAAAGAAAGACTGTCTATATTTCTAAGAAGAGGTATTATGTACAATATTTACAGTATTCAGACTATTGTCCTCATCTTTGTCGCCATATTTATTACTACATTTCGGGAGTTGTACGCTCTGGCCTTCTTCAGGTGGTTGGAATGTCAAACTGAACCCTTTATTTCGCTCACTGGGGTAAACTGTTCTAGTTCCACGTGCCATGTCTAATGGATGCCAATGGGTGTAATGGATGTGTCCTCAATGACACATGGCACAGTGGATAAAGGCGTTGGTTAAATCCAGTGATAGGACCCAAAGAGTTTGAGTTCAATACCCTGTTAAGGCAGTTGAGAACTTGGAGAGGGGAAATAACAGGAGATAACTGATAACTGGCATCCATTAGAAATGGGACGTGGAACTAGAACAGTCTACGCCAGTGAGCGAAATAAAGGGTTCAGTTCGACATTCGAACCACCTGAAGAAGGCCGGAGCGTACAACGGCCGAAACGTTGTAATAAATATGGCGATAAAGATGAGGACAATAGTCCGAATAATGTAAATAGTGTACATAACACCTCATCACAGAAATATAGACTGATAATGTAGACAGGAATGTCTTTAAATGCTGTGCAATAGAACGTGTATTCGACAGACGAAGCGTAAGATAGTGCTGTCGTCAATATTGTAAATAGAGAAAGAAAGGAAGAAAACCAAATCGATTCGTGGAGGAAAGAAAACGAAAGAATGAAAGGAGAGAAGAATAATGAAAAAGAAAGCAAGAATTAAAAAGAAAGAAATGAAAAAAAGAAAGAAAATAAGAAGAAAATGGACGACAAAAGAAAAAACAAAGACAAATTTTAAAAAAAGTAATATAAATAATAAAAAGACTGTGCTCCTTATGAAAGTCTCAGCAAAATAACAAGGGATGGCAGTTTGAAAAAAGTCTATGCTTTTTTACATTTTTACATACGGCTGAACAAATTCAAAGAAAAATAAGAGGCAAAAGCGAAATATACATGCTTAAAGTTTTCTCAAATACGACAAAAAGCATTGCAACTAGAATCGGACAAATCATGCAACGATATAAAAGAATTCCAACATGTCAAAAAAATAAAATAGGAGACACAACAAATGGAAGAAACTGCGATAAAGAAATCTGAAGGCGCTTAAAATCGTTTAAGATGTCTTCCGGAAACTAGTTAAAAAAAAAATATTGTTAGAACCAATGAAATGTTTGCTGAACGTACGATCAAGCCTCCTATATGTCAATGAACATGGGGCACTTTCCTTATAAATGAAGAGGAGACTTGAGGCAAAAGATGTGATTCTGCAGAAGGATGCTGAGAATACATAATATATATGAACAAGGGGAAGTTTTAAAAGAAAATGGGAAGGAAAAGGAGATTTATATATCTATCAATAATGACCGGCTACTTGTTTCTCAAGGCGGCTAACCAATCTCTGCTGTAGACGTCAGGCAGATTTGTTTTGGGATCAGAAGCCACCAACCCCACTTGTGGTTTATCTTGCAATTACGTCTAAGCGAATATCTGGGAGAGAACGCATAATCTGGCGTGATCAAATGTCTGAAAAACGTCAGTAACCTTATACCCTCGGTCACGATGACGCGTGACTTTGTGCTAGTACAGCAATCGATGGCCTCAAAACAGCTCCGTCTACCCGATTTCAATTACACGGCGTGAGTCAACCCAACGTATGTTTCTCGTGTATTTTCCAAAGAAGCCGCACGCTTGGATCGACTACCCAGGTCGATAACACCAAGACGTGACCACTCGACTATGGTAATAATATATAGTCTCTCATGTATGCACAAAGGACATGGGTCATTTAATGACCTACATATTCTAGCTTTTCTTATTAATTTCCATTTTACTGTAGGTGTTTTATTGGCTTCTTTTAGATTAGAATACATTGTTTTGAACTATAGTTTTAAATATTATTTTTACTTTTAACTACTAATAGATTATATTTCTTTTTCTGGCACTTAAAAAACCCCCAATAAAACATCAACAGTAAAATCAAAATTAATAAGAAAAGCTAGAATATGTAGGTCATTAAATGATCCATGTCCTTTGTGCATACAGGAGAAACTATATATTACTAGATTTATAAAAAATAAAAATTTACTGAATCAAAGAAATGAAACAGCTATTCTTTGTCGACATTGTCAAAAATTTTCGTTAAAAAAATATTTTTTTAAAAAAGAGAGAGCTGTTAATATACATACTTATATTTGATATGCAATAATAATTTTTAAATAATTTAAGTAATTCCATTACATTTATTTGTTTTAAAAAGAAATATAATCTATTAGTAATTAAAAGTAAAAATAACATTTTAAAAGTATAGTTCAATACAACGTATTCTAATCCAAACACCCCTTTAAAATGCATATGTATACAAGTACGAATTTAAAAGAAAAAAATTGCTGATAAATGTTTTACCCTTGATAAAAAAAAATAGACGACATGCATTGAATGGATGTCATAATTCGTTGAAAAAGGGACCCCTACCCTACCTAGACTTAACCTCTTTTCGAACATAACTCATAATTGATACATTAATAATTAATAATAAAAAAAAAACACACTACCACCCCTGTCTAAATGATTGGATTACTCTATATCCTTAGAAACAAAAATTATGAATTGTATGTGCTTTTAAAACTCAGTAAATTTCAAAATAGGTTATTCAAAAATTCGCTTGAAGATGAAACAGAACTAATGCTTTTAATTTAATTATATAATTGAATTTGAAGTGTTTACTTTCTGTTTTTGAAACATGGTAATTCCTGTGTAGCGATGGAACCATTTTTTTTTAATCAGTTAATTTATAATATTTATACTCTGTAAATTTACATTGAGCACTGTTTTGTGAAAATAAAAATATCAATGAGAGAACCGGATTATATATCTTACTGTTCTTTTTTTTTTTATATATATATATATATATATATATATATATATATATATATATATATATATATATAATTAAAATATCAGGCCATCATCCTCAGTGCTGTTTCGACTTGAAGACACACTGCAAGTCAGTGTGATTGCTAATCGTCAGGATCTTTGAAAATATCTTTCCAAATCTCCCTGTCTTGTGCTAACTCACGAAACTACTGCAGGGTTTCCATGCTCTTCTATATTTTTAAGTAGAATGATGGAATTTTATTGATATTTCTATTTATTATGGTTGCTCGTCCAATGTCTGTGGATGTTATTCTTCCATTTGATATTGATCACAAGACAATTTCCATAATATTTCCGGTTTCCAAAGATTTTAACATCTATTTTTCAACTCTGGTTTTAATATCACGTCGTTCTTTTGGGATGATGTTATAATTATCAACGGAACCAACAAATAATTCTTGGCCTTTTTTTTTTTACAATTCCTCTAATATTAAATGTTCCGATGCAATATGCTTTTGGAGGCACAAATATGCAACCAGATGAAATACGCAATTGGGTGAAATATGCAACCGGATGAAATATGCAATTAGATGAAATAGGCAATTAGATGAAATATGCAACTGCATGAAATATGCAATTAGATGTAATATGCAAGCGGATGAAATCTGCAATTAGATGAAATATGCATTTGGATGAAATATGTAACCGGAGGATATATGCAAATGGATTAAATATGCAATTGGATGTAATATGAAGCCAAATGAAATATGCAACTACATGAAATATGCAATTGGATGTAATATGCAGCCAGATGAAATATGCAACTACATGAAATATGTAACCGGAGGATATATGCAAATCGATTAAATATGCAATTGGATGAAATATGCAGCCAGATGAAATATGCAATTGGATGAAATATGCAACCGGATGAAATATGCAATTAGATGAAATATGCAACTGCATGAAATATGCAATTGGATGTAATATGCAACCAGATGAAATATGCATTTGAATGAAATATGCATTTGGATGAAATATGCATTTATATGAAATATGTAACCGTAGTATATATGCAACTGGATTAAATATGCAATTGGATGTATTATGCAGCCAGATGAATTATGCAATTGGATGAAATATGCAACCGGATGAAATATATAACTGGATGAAATATGCAATTGAAGTAATTTACAACGTTTTAAATAAGTAGTTGCCAACTTTTAATGTTTGTCATCCGGAGAAGTCATTTCATTCTCAATCAAAGTAAGAAACAAAGGAAGAAAAAAAAATTACGATTCCTTGACATTTAACCTCTATATGAGACATTATCTTAATCATTTAACACAAAGCAAGGAAATAAAGCCTCTAAGACACAAGGGGTTACTGATTGTGAGATAATATGGGAAAAACATTATGAAAGTCAGAAAACAATAAAAGAACAGAAATTAAGAAGATAACGATTGACATTGCATTTAAATTTTTGAAGAGCAAAGTTGACTGGGAAGGAAGAAGACAAAAGAAAGTTCCACAAGCGAGAAGTACGAGAGAAGAAACTGTTAGCATAGGACTTACGGTTACATTTATCCATTTCAACTGTAAAATGATGAGACCGCTCCGCCAATTTTGTACTGCGCTTAAATTCGTAAAGTCGAGGTAGCAAAGAGGGAAGTAAATCAGAACAACGATCGTGAAAATATTTATAGAAAAAGTGAGAAAGTGAACTGAGGTTGACATGCCAGGTCAGGACCAATAACATTGCAGATTCTTCATTGAATTTTAGCAAGAGCTCACTAGATACCCAAGATAATCACCAGACCAAATGTCGCTGGCCATTCATATAGCGAAGGTAACCGTCTCTTAGGGCGCATAGCTAATCCCTGTTGCTGACGCCTGTTCCGAGACATTTGTGATTAACTCCCATAGAGATCACCAGTGGTTTATATAGCAACTATGCCGAGCTGACCTTAGTTACAGGTTCCGGCATTGAGCGAGCACTCTTATACCCTCGGTCACAATGACTTGTGACTTCTTGCTAGCGCAACTACCCATGGCTACCTAATTTCATTTACAAGGCTTGCGTCAACTCGTGGTATGTTTTTCAGGCATTTATCAAAGGTGTCTCATGCTGGGACCGTGGGATTGCCTTCTTCAGAGCAATAACATCAAAAAGTGACCGTCCTGGTAATTCGACCATGGGAATAATTTAATATAATGTAATTTTATTCTTTGCAAAATGAATTATCTAAAAAAAAACAAAAGCAAAAAAAAAAAAAAAAAAAAAACAACAAAAAACGGTACCTCTCTCTCTCTCTCTCTCTCTCTATATATATATATATATATATATATATATATATATATATATATATATACCTATCCAACTATCTATCTACACTGATTTCTGATTTCAACTTTTGCTTTCGACCGGTTTTACCGGTAATCCGTAATTTCTCGATGATCGATATATCACTCATTTATCTAGAGCAGACCCCAATTAACACCTAGACCAACTTCGAGAAACCTAACGAACGTTGCACAACCAATCAGCTTGTATTTCATCATTAACCCCGAACTGGTCCAAAATGAACTTTACCAATATCCAGGAATTAATTGAACGATGACGAGGCAAACTGCTGTTTAATCCGGGCGTCTTCATAGTAGAACCATGATATCCAGTGAAACCAATCATTTAAATTAGACTGACCCTTGGTCGCATTACGTTAATCTATTAAGTGGACAATGACGGTGTATCATGGAATTAAGCCTCATAAGCCCAAAATCTAAACAAAGTATCAAGAAATACGAAGACTAGAATCAAAGAAAAGAATGCTGAACTTCTATGTCATATCAGTTCTTTTATATCGCTATGAATACTTGACAATTTCCTCACGCAGGAAGAGGCGATTTGATTGATTGGCTTTCTACAGTTATTTTAATAATTTTACTCCAAACAAGGCAAAATAGTCACTAAGACTTGCATGGAGTATTGCTGCCATATATGGTCTGGAGCCCCTTTCTGTTTGCCTCGGGATTCTTGATAAGATCCAGAGGCGGATATGCAATGTAATTGGCCCTGATCTGGCATCTCGTCTGCAGTCGCTCTCTCACAGACATGTCGTCTCCTCTCTTTTTTGCAAATAATTTCATTGTAATTGCTCCGATGAGCTGTTTTCTCTGGTTTCCAGACTCCATGAAATCAAGCGTCCTACGAGGCTGGTATCCCGCTCTCACCCTTTCACTGTCAAAACTGTTAAATGTAGCCGTCTCTTCTTCTCCAATAGCTTCATATCTCGCACCTCTCGCCTGTGGAACTCCCTTCCCTTTTCCTGTTTCCCTGATAGCTATAATCTATTCAAATGTAATGTCAATCGACATCTCCAGTTGCCTTGATTTATCCACTATCCTTCTCATCCTTTCCTCTATCACTCCTATCTGCCCTTGCTCCAAATCCTCTGTGACCCCTTGCGTGCTAGTGGCTTCCCGCCTTGCTTGGGGTGCTTAAAAAAAAGAAAAGAAAAAAATCTCAAAGGTTTACTGAGTGTTAGGGAAGATTAGAGGAAGTCATACGCTTAATTTTATAATGTTTTTGGTACTATACCGTAACGTTGATAATAACAATTACCATGAAAGTATTTATAGAGAAGGCGCAGAGAATCTACATTATGACGGCTGGAAAATGACTGAAGCTGTGATGCCAGATCAGGACCAATAACATTGCAGTTTGTTCGTTGGATTTTAGCAAGAATCTCTAAATATATAGCTGGAACACCAGACCAAATATGGCATCAGTATTCAATGCATAGACGAATGGTAGACTTATAGATATGTAACATAGATTCTGGCAAAAAAAAAAAAGAAGGTTATTCAAAGCCAGAAAATATTTTTTTAGATTGCAAGAATGCTTTTCTTTTAGAGATAATAATGTTTTGGTGATATAAGTCTTACTAATTAATCTATAGTTCGGGAGAGAGGACATAGATTTATAGCTTTCCCAAAGATATTTGCATGTAAGTGAATGAAATAAAACCAACAGAAATCGGAAGTCAGCTCTCAGGTTAAAAATCCCGGGCCATTATCCATTACACCACCTGCACATCCAAGCATGCAGCACCTGGTATTCTCGAGCGGCCACCCGCCTAGGTATTAACCAGTTTCGACGTTGTTTAACTTCGGTGATCATACGGGAACCAATGTTTCAACATGATTTGGCTGTAAGTCAACTGATGATTTGTACCAGCAGATATGTGGTACAGAAGCCTGCTAAGAATGTCCTGGAGAAAGAATGTGACTGACTGATGTGCTTTGCGTTTTATAAACCCTTTTACGTTTACTTAAAACCGAAATATATTTTGGATTGTGTATAATATTTTTTTTTTTTTTGCGTGAGAATATTGCATTAACAATTATTTTTGCCCAAATATGCCAACGTATTTTCTTTAGGAAAATACGTACGTTTACTCATGAATTTGTTCAACATCATACTTATTATAAAATCCAAGTTGTGTGTGTGTGCGTTTGATCGTTTCTATATTGGATCGGATTTCCTACATTTTTCAACCGATTTCAAAAAACTTCACAGGACTACGTAAAATTACCTTGCGGTGGTTCTGACAGCGCCAAAAATGGGAAAAACACAATTGTTTTTGTACGAAATCAATATAAAAACACGATTAAGAGGCATTCGAGAATGAAAGGGGGACAACTCATATCGAGTTATACTACTTATTATAAAACTCAGGTTGTTTGTTTGCTTGTGTGTGTGTGTGTGTGTGTGTGTGTGTGTGTGTGTGTGTGTGTGTGTGTGTTCGTTTATATATGGGATCGGATTTCCTTCATTTTTCAACCGATTTCAACAAAACTTCACTTTTTTTTGGCAGGTAGTATTTCTTATTGTCTTGCACACTTTTTTCTTTATTTTTTACATTCAGAATGCTTTAAAAATTCCATTTACAAGACAAGTGTTTATAATAAAATTCTATTCAATCGGTAGACTCATAACGATTGAAAACAATGTTTTTGTTTGAGTTTGGGTTTGACCAATTCGTAAAAAAAAAAAAAAAATTAAGACATGCGTGTCCGTCAACCTTAAACAATAATCTTTGTCAATTTTATTTTTCAGTCTTTATGATGGTCGATACTTGATCTATCTCTTACTGTTACATCTCCGGGCAACGCCGGGCTCTACTGCTATTGCTTAATATGTTTGAGATCGATTTCGTCAAAGAATCTACACAGACCAATCAAGGACTAATAAAACTATAAAGGGACTAATAAATATCCCCATTAACGCCATATCCCTAAGGATATAGTCAGTTATGACTCTCCACAGATTCAATTTCCTTATCATCTGTTAATTGATATTAATTTTCTGGAAATGTAGTCGAATGGTTTCTGGTTGTTCGCTACACAATTTGGAATTTTAGAGATTCTTTCTCTCAGACTTAGTGTTTCAAAAAGCAGAAGACTCCGCTTTCTATACTATTTAACCCATAGCTCTAGGAAGAATAGATGGAGCCCTACTATTCCGACGAGTATTGCTGCGAATTTAAACGCAATAAAAAGCCGAAAGAACTGAGATATAGAACAATTTATAGTTAATTATGTACCGGAAAATAGGAAAATATTTCGAAATATAAATAATATTTAAAAAATCTTCAACAAAGACATTCACTGACTTTTACCTCTCTCTCTCTCTCTCTCTCTATATATATATATATATATATATATATATATATATATATATATATATATATGTATCTATCTATCTATCTATCTATATATATATATATAATACATATATATATGAATATATATATATATATATGTATAATACTATTTTTAACTATATATATATATATATAATACTATATATATATGTATATGTATAATACTATTTTTAACTATATATATATATATATAATACATATATA